GATAACATGACAAGTACATATCTATATTTACTTGTCACGTATTTAAGGAGAAAATTATATTCAGTGTAAGTAATGAATTTCATTAATGAATAATGAATTTCATTAGGACTGTTGCAATTATCTTCTTTCCCTGGACAGAGCCTTTCTCTCTTGGGCAGTTGGATGTCACCCTCTGATTCAGTCTGTAAAGGAGCTGTAGGAAAATAAGATTTGCTTGTAATGGCAATATTTACCACCTGCAGTAATTGTATTTGGTTAGTTGTATTGCCCTGTAAAGTGTTATGTTGGGTGAAGCACAGACAGAGTCACACCATACAGGAGAAAAGATAACCAGAAAAGTGTTTTAGATCCACTTTATAGGTGTAAAAACTGCAACAAAAAGGAGGATGCAGAACCTTATGAAGATGACAGGCAAAAATTACAGGAAAAGAGTCTAGGCTGGCATAGCTGAGGAACACTTCTACCTGTTCCCCCCTCACATTCCAGGTATAACAATAATATTTTTATCCCTTCTGTGATCTGTTCTGTGTGGTATCATTCATGTGAATAAATCCAAGTGTGCTCCATGCTACACTGTAAAATATGAAGTAGAAAAGACTATTCCCAAAACCTTACAAGGTAAGTTTTAACAGGCCACAACAAACAGCTAAATCTCAAACAAAGTTGAGCAGTCTGATGAGCAGTCTTCAGATTGCTGAAGTCTGACAAGAAACAGTTCAAATAATTTTTGGAACTGTTATTCCAAGAATGGCTGTTTCTATCTTGAATAATATTTTTACTCATGAGTGGCACAGAAGAAAAATTCAGAGACTGGATGGGTTCTTTGACCCACAGAAAGGCAGACTGTGGATGTCACCACTGAGGGCTCCTGCAAGTATTTCATCTACAGACATTAATTATTTGCTTCTTGCTGGAGTTGTTAATAGTATAACTAATTTAGATGGTGATTCCTCTGTCATAAATACCTGCTGGAAGGGATGAGACAGAAGTGTACTGCAGTTAAACATAGAAAGCTCTCAGATAAAAGAATGAATATAAAATGAGAGAGCACAACCAATCCTCTCCATAAACTACCATGTCTTCAACACAAAAATACTTTTCTTGTTCTAAAGATATAATTGAGCTTGAGTCATCACTGAAACTCCCAGCCTCTCATTTCTGCCTATCTTCTGTGAAAACATTAGCTTCACAAATAAATCCACAGTTTTTGCTCTTTTCCTTGACCACTGGACTGAAAGACAGCAAGAGCTGACAGAATCCTTCCTTTTCCTTTGAAAAAGCTGCTGGCAGAGCTAGAAAAGGTTAAAATAAAGCACTGCTTACAAAGTTTTACTAATCTCAGAGACACAGTAGAACTCTTTCACTAAATTTCTAAAGGTTTTGCTTATATTTCTGTGTGAGCTCTGTTCTAAGGATGATGTTTGCAATAATATGCCTAAATAATTTCTTCCTCACTTTATCTACTAGTATGTTCAGGGAAGTTATAATTTTTCTTTTTATTAAGGTCAGACTAGAAAGACATTTCAAACCCTCTAATTTAAAACACAGCGAAAATAACTCCCTGTTTTTCCTGACTCCAAGGTCTCTAGTGATTTTTGTGCCTAATGCACAATTCTGTCAATGTCTGTTTGTAACACCATTAACTCTCCAGCACATGGCATCTTACAAAGTCTTGGGAAATCTGGAGACAGCTGTGTGTTAATTTTATTGTAACAAAATCTTTTGCACAGATTTATTTTTCTCTCTGAGCCCGTGCAGCAATTTTTCTCATTCACAGACGTTTGTGAATCCTTTTTTTGGTGGTGTTTTCATTTGAGCAGGGGTTTCTGATTGAGAAGTTAGTGGGATTTGCAGAAGTCACACTGAAAAATTCTCTGTTTCAGGAGCTTCCCTGCTGGAAGGCACACTTTGATTCCCTTGGTGAGCTCTTCTCTAAGCATTTCATGCAGAAGCAGCCAGGGAAATGTAAAAACTGCCTGTGGTCTTATTTACTAGTTTGTCCTGTTTTTGCTGAGGAACATCAGACTGTAACTTCTGTGGGGATGACACTGGTGATTGGGTTCTTTTCCCTAGGACTGAGACTGACAAGGGAGAGGCTGTTTTTTCTTGTTCTGACTTACCTTGTTCAATAGTTTATTCCTTCCTTATCTATATATTACATATATACAGGGTACAAGGACCTACATGCACTAAGATGGGTGCAAAATGGCTAATGAAGAACCTCTTCAAGGTTTTTTTCTATGTCTATTTATCCAATTAACAAATGCCAAGTAAGCTATTGTTCCTAGTGACCCAATGACACCAGTGTGCTGCACTGCAGCGTTCTCTATCCAATCACTCATTATTACCCAAAAACCCTTTGAAGAAGAAGATGAAGAAGGAAGAAGGAGAAAGGGACAATGCCCTAACTCCTCCATCTTGTCTGTATGTGTGCATGGTGAGCTTGTGATGTGCACAAACAGGTAATCAGTGGAACATCTTGGAAAAAAATGACTTTAGAGCCTGAGGAGCTCCAGGCAGAGCAGAAGGCAAAGAGAAGTCAGGCACAGTCCTGTGTGTGATGAGCTCACATATACCACTTACACGTGCTAATGCAATTCACAGGCTGGTGACCCAGAAGAAGTTTTTCCCCTTGTACTATTTCACATTTTATGTGTGTAAAATGCAGTATATTCATCCTTCTCTTTAATATTTTATCATCTTTTATCACACCAAAATGAGGGAGGAAAATAGATGGCTATTAAATGTAAATACCAGCAGCTCTTCAAAAAGTTCCCTTTCCCTTGCTTCCCTTTCTCAGCAGCAGGATAAAAAGTCGTGTAGATGCTCTAAAACTGGGCTGAGTCTTTTGACAATCTGGCATTTTCCTCCCTAGCAATTTGCAAGAGAGGTGGCAGACAAGGGCCAGATATTTAACCTTTGCCACCAGAAGTGTGTTAGTGTTTAAGGGTCGTGGTTCAGGAAATGAGAACATCCCAATAATCAGTGAAATAAAGATTACATAACATTACCTTTTATGTGAAATTCTAAAATTATATTTATTGGCCAATTCACAGGAAGTGCTGTAGTGACCACAGAAATGACTCTGGCTTTATACAAATACAGATGTACAGAACAAATTTTAAAAGAACTATTTGGAATATGCATTTAATCAGTCCTGTGGAAAACATATGGGTACTAACAATGTCTAATTCATAAACGACTGTGCAAATTGACGTGGCTTTTATGAAATACACCACTATGCCATGAAGTTAGTTTAGTACAACTTCTTCTTACTCTGTGTTTAGAGTTTGTGTTCTGTTCTGTCTGTCAAAATTTACTGTACATTTTCATTAAAAAAGGGTTGGGTTTTCTTTATTTTAAAATAAAAAAACCAAACAGCTGATTCATATCTATTTAAAATCATTTCATATTCATCTTTTTAATTGCATATAGTCATTTAATTAATCATACTGCATAAGTGGTGTAGGTTCATGCTTTCAGAAATGCATTTAGCATCTGCAACAAGACATTTCAAGATATGGTTTATGGTTGTTTCACATCAACAATAAGATATTTCATGTAAGAGCATTTTTCCTGGGCTGAACAGTCTGTTGGTTTGAGACACATTTATGGAGTACAACTCTCGTATGTACAACCATACAGCATGTGTTTATTTAATCCCTTCTCTGGTATATTTTTTATTATCCATAGAAGTGGCCACAACTACACAGAATTTGGACAGCCAGGATGGAATCCCAAGCTACAAAATACATGCTACCATCTGCAGTTCCTGCTCCTCAACAAGAACCAATCCTAACATGGAAGCAATATGGGAAATGACAAACTGTGTGGGGAAAATTGTACATTTTTGCAGGCAGATGAAATACCGTTTTTACTGCCAAGAGATGATGAAATATGAAATAGAATTGTCCCAGCCACTTAGAGCACAGCTGTTACATTCAACATGATGAGATTGTTTCTCAGCTCTTCAAAATCCTACACTCTAAGTAGCATATAAAATATTTAATATATGGTTAATTCTAACTAGAACAACTCCTTTCACCATACTGCAACAACATTCGGGGTGCCTGTCTGATTCCTGTCCTGCTGCTTGTGCAAGTCACGTTTTACAGCTCCTTTCTCAGGAATTCCTCTTCTTTTTCCTCTCCTTTGTGTTGCAACCTGACCTTGAAGGGCTCATTCACCTTCCCTGCTGTCCATGGCTGCTCCCCATGCCGTGTCTCATTTTGGGGAGGTGAGCAGAGCAGTGACAGCCAGCAGCCACTGCCACAGCACTCATTGTTTGCTCATCTGACCCAAACCCACTCCTGGCAATTGAGAGTTTCCTACAGTATGGTCTGCACAATTTGCACTCACTGGGGGCAGAGATGTGCTGAGGGAAGCAGAGAGCTCACTGAAGTCACCACTGGAACCCTCAGTGTATCTGCTCTCCCCTTTATGCCAATCTTTGCAGACAGAGCAAATGAGGAAGAAATCAAATTCTATTTTCCTCGGGTCTTAGTGATGCAGTGGCTCTTCCAGCACAAAGATTTCAGTTTGGAGTTCAAGGTTTGGAGTTCAGGTACAGAAGGCAGGAGCAGATGAAGGAAACACTTCAGTGAAAAGACCCAAGCTGACTTTGTGCATCCTCCCTGTTTGCCTGTGTGGCTTCTGAGCCAGAGAACACAGGTGTGCTTGGGGCATGCTTGGAAACAAACCACAAGGTCATCCTGCCATCCACAGACCAGAAATGGAGCACCAATTTGCAATGGAAGGGTAGCCATGGCAGTAATCAGAAGAGTGGGCACAATTCTATTTCTTTGCAGCAGTTTGTGCTTGGCTAGAAATCTTGAGCGTTTGTTTAAGAAAGTAGGTGCATTCTGCTGACATTTGAGGAGAAGCAGTATTATCTGTCTTAGTGAAACTGCTGGGTAATAGCTTCTCTTTATTGTAGGGACACTTAAAAACATGGGCACATGAACAGACCAATGTCTATTTTCACATTAAAGACAGCAATCTAATTTTTGACAAATTCTACTTTGTATTACTGTTTAGCTGACTCCAGTGTTTATTCACTGTTTATTTATATTTTGTTAAATCATACCCGTGTAAAATACACTGCCAAATTCATATCATATGAGAACTTATCCACAGATTACAGAAAAGATTTTTACAAAATCAGGTTTCAATTCAAATTTATTGTTTAATGTTTGACAACTTATGCAGTGACACGCACCAACACAGAGCACCTTAAGGGAATGAACTGACTGTGACTCATTTAAGGAAATAGCATGGGATTTAGTTTGTGGATTAAAGACATTTAATGAAAAGGTAAGAAATACAAAAGTGAAGGAATGAATTGGGATGAGAAGGGTTTCATAGCTTCTCTAATAAATGGCCAAAGGCAATGAACTTGATAACTATCTAAAAATATTCAACAGATATAAATCATAGTTAGAGGAACTATTTAAAGCAAAAGGGTATAACTGAGACTAATGTGATAAAAATTACAAAAAGGATTATTTAAATTCATTTTCAGGAAAAGCTTTCTAATGGTGAATTCTAATAGACTCTAGAACAATCTCCCAGGGGAAGAGGTAGAAGCCCCAAGCCTAGAAACATTAAAGTAGGTTGAAGCACCCCCACCCCTAACACTGAAAAAACATATTCTGGGAAAGAATTCTGCACTGTTAGCATAATACTCTACTGGAACTACTTTTCCCTTTTGTCTACTAATCTTTATTTCTAGAATTTGATAAGTCTAGTATGAACTTCTACACACATTGAAGTTGAGATGAAACAGTTCCTAGGAAGCCCACCCATAGTGTGTATTGCCCCTCAAAGCAATAATGCACTCTGCTGTATCTTCTCATCTCTGTTGTGATGAATGTCTGAGCAGAACTGCCTGTTAACCACAATCAAAAATGTACTGAACTGGTGGTGCAGTATTTGCAGCAGAATACATATAAAAACCTCATTTCTTTTCAGATGTACCTCACACTTTTACGTCTGTTTGTGGAGAGGCCAAAAATAAACGTGCCAGTAATTGATTCTGAGAATGGAGGCAATAACTTCAGCTCTCAGATCGGTGCAGGGATGGTGGTTATCCTTGAAAATTTTTCAAAAATCAGGAGTCCTAACTATGTGGCCACTTAGGAGATTGTATCACTACAAAAAGTTTACTTGAGGGCCTTTTCAATATGGAGTATGTTCTCCTTTCGGTGTCTCCAGCTTCTCATCAACCCATGGAGTATGTTTGTTCTCTGAAACAAATCAACAACTGTCTGTGGGCAAAAGTTCCATTTCTTACATCAAATTAAACTATGTGGTAACTGTGCCCTCAAACTTGAGTCACAGTAGACAGAATGTGTGCCCCAGGCTCCCTGGGCTGGCTTTGGCTCTACATTTTTCTACTTCATGCATGTACAGGGTAGCAACAACTCCCATGGCCCTGCTGCTCCCTTCCCAGCTCTTCTGGAACTCAAGGAGGCAACTTCAGCATCAGCCAGGCTAAAACCCTACAAGTTCTCCTTCATCACCACAGCCACCACCTCCCCACGGGCACCATTCTGTGATTTTTCTTGTACACAACATGTATGTGTACACAAAACATAATTTTTGTGTATTGCAACGTAATTGATGTGTATTGCATCTATGTCTGGTCATCTCAGAACCCTTTGACATCCTACATCCCTTCTCTTTTTTGTTCATCATGACAGTGTGAGTTCTGGCATCAAAACAGAAAATGTTTCCATTTTATTTCTATTCGACACTCAAGCCTTTCTGTCTCTATCTTTTCTACAAGATTAAATTTCAATTTTTTTCACATCACTGTAAACATTAACGCTTTCTGTTGTTCATGTAGTATTCTCTTCTGCCTTTCTGCTTACTCTTCCTTAAGTGAAAACTTGATTTTCTAATGGAACTGACTGTAGTTGATCCATTTCATATTCCAAGGAGCACACCCAGTTAAAACAACCATCCACCTTCTCATCTATTGCACATTAAGCAGCTTCTAGACAAAGATTTATTGCCAATTTCAGTACTGCTTTGAAATGTCATTGTAGTCACAGAATTGGTCAGGGTTGTCTGATAACTCTTTTGTACCTGTTTATATAGTTAGGAGAGGCAGGAGTAGGAAAAAAAAGGACATTGCAATTTTAAAAACCTTTTCTTTTCCTCCCCCCTTAGGATATCCTGAAACCTTCAGCCAAAAATAGTATTATATATTAGTACACCAAAAGACACCTGAAAGAACTTTCTACCCATCTGGGAAGTTAAATGCCTCTGAAAACCCAAGACTGTATCCAGATTTATAGAAAAGGAATAGGTGGGGCTGCAGAAAAGCATTTTACTCCCATTAAATTTTCTGTGTTTCTGAAGTATGGTGATGGAATACCATTGTAAAACCTTTGTTCCCCATTTGGAAAATAGGGAAAAACTGAAAAAGCTTCAAAAAGCTTCGAAAAATTTGGAAAGCTTCTTTTTGCATTTGGCAAGCTTTGTGCACCTTGTCAAGGGAAAGCTGAACTCTTTTATTGTACAATGTACTTAACAGGGGAAAAAAAAATCTGCTGCTTCTTTGTTCTCAGCACAGACATAAATAGTGACAATACACGGCCATGGAGCTTCAACAGCTGATGAATGCACAATTTCCCCATGAGCTACTACTGAAAGTAAGAATGAGGGCTTTTCCTGAACTCTGTTTCATACTTTTGCAGTGCTCCATGCTGCTGAGGGTGTTTCTTTATGGGCAGTAACTAATGAAGCACCAGCCTAGAGCTCTCCACTGCAACCACTGTGTCATTCCTGCTGCATATGTTTGGAGTGCTGCAGCATGGAGGGATGGGAGCAGAGCTGCAGGAGAATTACTGAATTCTGGTTCACCACCAGGGTCTCAAAGGATGCTTCAGCATTGCTCCTGTTGCCAGCAGAGACATGGAAATCATAACAAGGAAACCACTGGCAACCCATACTCCAAAGGCAGCAAAATGCCTCTAGAGAATAAGGGTACCTGCTCTGATGCCTCCCTTTTCATCACCAGAAAATGTGAATATACAAAACTTCCTGGGTTGATTTTATTCTGCTGAGTTTCAATAATGAGGGCTAAAGTTGTTTATTATTTTAACCCCTATGTTAGACAGAGGCTAAGGAGATTAAAGCCCTTGCTCCCCTTTCGTTTTTGCACTGTTCAAGTGTTGTGTGTTTTTAATTTATGGCCATGTCTTCTTTTACAGAGAAAAAACCAAAAAGAACATACCAGGCTTGTACCTTGCTAATCCTACAAAGATGATGAATTATAATTACTTTATGAGATATCACTGGAGCAATTTTCCCAATGTATTTAACAGAAATATTTCTTGAGATTGGGTGTGTTAAGAGAGTAGGGATTTTGCTCCGCTGTAGCTTTAGTGGTTGTCTCTATTCTTTGTGTCTTTATTCTCCATGCTAAAAAAAATGAAGTTGGATTCCAAGAGAGTCCAGCAACCAGAAGTCTGATCATTGGATACACAATCTGAGACATGCAGCTTCAGGGAACCTGATCCATGTCACTTTCCATCACTCCCCACACACTGCTTGTTATGCCTTTATTAAAAAAAAAAACACAACACATTTGACCCAAATGTACAAAGATTGTATAAGATCACAACTTCTGGGTGCTGTGAGAAGCATTTATTTTATATTACAAAGTGTTGCATGGTTTGGTGTTGGGAATGTTGGTTTCTTTGCTAACACAGAAGTCTTTGAGGGATGGGCTAGCTGCTTTTTCCCACACTGGGATGCTGTGAGCTCGGCAGGCTCTGGCTGTGCAGGAACAAGGCCTGGCTGTGCTGAGAGAAAACCTAATCCCATTCTGTGGCTGCTGATACTGCTTGGAGCATGGGGGAGGTTATACAGCACAGGATTATGTACCATCAACAGGAATTAATTTAGTGATTTAGAGGGTAGTGTGATTTCTTTGGCAATCTTTTTGATGGAGCAGTTGCTCCATGAAGGTCAGCACCCACAGGGATCACCCAGAGATCTCAACACCTGCCGCTAGATGAGGCTGCTGCATCAACCAGCTTCCTCCCAATATTTCCACTTTTTTTTATTCAGTAATTTTATCAGGGCAGGACCTGATAAAACCTGTTATCTCCCCTGAGGCTGGGGATATCCTAGTTTTGAGATCCTTATTCTGGTCAGCATATGTGAATTAAGGGAAAGGGAAGCACCTTAGAGGAGATGTACCCACAGCTTTATTTCCTCTCTCTCTCTCATTATCCAGATGTTTTTGCAAACATCCTTAATTTTGGTATTATAATTTCTATTCCACGATACCAGAAGCAGCTCCATCCCACCAGACCTTTACCTGCTGCTACTCCAGTGAAGTCTTTCCTGGTGCAGTTCTGTGGAAATGAAGAGCTGTGTGTGCTGACACCAAAAATTTCAGAAGAGGCAGTGCTGCTGCCTCTGAGGTCACAGCTGGGGAAAGGGACAGCTGAGACACAAATTATTTATTATTTATCAAAAATTATTTTATCAAAGCTCAAAAGGCTTTGCCACAGTGAATTAAGGGACCCTCTGCCCATTACCTGGGGCTGCTGATCTCCCATGGCATTATTTTCAGTTTGGGGTCAGGCAGAGACAGCTCCTGCAGTGGAAACAGTGGATTTCATCACCACAGGAGGAAATTTAGAACACTCTGATCCTTTCTGAGCCTTGCTTTGTTCCAGAATGGAGTAAGGATGGTGCTCAGCAAGTTCATCACTGCCACATGCCAGACAGGAAAATAAGCTGCTCCCTCCCATTAGCCTCTGGTGAGGTAAAACCAGTCCCACCACCACTGCAAGGTACTACCTGTTGGCATAAGAGAATAGCAACAGTTTATTTTAATTAGTATTAAAGATGTCACAAACCCTACATGTCTATTTCTAATTTGAACTGGTGTCAGCCAATGCACTAAATATTGAGATTAATCTCAACTGTGCATTTTAAGTTTTACTTGCAAAGATAAAACACCTGTGGATGGGGTAGAAGTGAAAGAGAAATGGGAGCTGTTAATCACAAATAGCCTCTTAGGCAGTTTTATTAATTCAGATAACATCTTTAATTTACATTTGTAGGTTTTGCAGCTTTTTCCAGCCTTAGAGTAGAACTTCAAAAACTTAAAGGCGTCATTGATGTGATGTCATTTTAGACCTCAGTTGTCACCTCTGGATTCCTGATGCCATGGATTGTGGGTACCTCTTCAGAACTGCTTTCTTTGGATACACTTGTTTTTTTGTTAGTGTAAAAAAAGCCACCTCAGCACAAGACACACCCTGAGGGGCTGCAGTGGGTCCAGGGAAGGGAACAGAGCTGGGGGGGCTCAGCCTGCAGGGAAGGAGGCTCAAGAGAGACTTTTTTAAACTCCAGCTCTGTGAGAGGAGGCTGCAGCCAGGAGGGGATGGTTTCCCTTCTCAAGAAGTGCTAGGACAAGGGGAAACAGCCTTGAGCTGTCCTGGGGAGGTGTAGACTGAATAGTGGGGAAAATTTCCTGATGGAAAGGATGATCATTGGGAGAGGCTGCCTGGGGACGTGTGGGGTCACCACCTCTGGGGGAATTGCAGGACATGTGAATGGGGGGCCTGGGGACATGTCAGCAGTGGGCTTGGCAGTGCTCAGTGATCTCACAGGTCTTTTCCAACCTTGGTTTTACAGTTCTAAGCACTTCTTTCAGGGAGGAGAGAATTTTAGTTTTTGATTAGGGGCAAAAACCCCCCATGCACGTGTCTTTATATACATATGTGTGTGTATGTGTTCTGGTTGGTTTTTAAGGAAGTAGGTTACATGGAAAAATGATTTCTAGAGGCATGGAAATGTTGTTAGAATTGTTTTAGAAAAGGAGATATTTCTCTGATTTTCTAGTAGTAGTTTTGCTCAGGAAGTCACTGCTTTCAGTGCTACCCAAATATTCTAGGGCCCATTTTGTAAAGAAGTATCTCATTCTCACTGCCATTTTGTGAAAAGGATGTTTCTATTTATTTGAATGAAAAATGCTGCATAATGCACTCCAATGAGTAATCTAAAATAAGTACAGTGATACATTTTAGTTTGCTGAATATCTTACTGCAAACCAGGTTTTAGTGATAACACACATGCCTGTATTACTTTGCTTAGGTTTAAAAATGTAGGTTTATTTACAGTAGAGAAAATACTTTGTTTGCTTCTTGTGTAATGTATGAGTACAGCCTGAAAAAGGTCTGCTTCCAGTAACAAAAAGGTAAGTCTACTAGATGGAGAAACACACTGATGAATTCACAAACATATAAAAGAATTAAAGGCTGTCAATAAGATTGTAAATTGCTGTTTTCAAGTTGTCCTAATGTTTGCTATGACAACAACAACAAAAACAACAACAATAATAATAATAATTATAATAATAATCATCAGGAATAACAGAAACTTTAAAATAATTTAAGTCCAGTTTTAAATCTGAAGTTAACTTTTAAATATCTACATTTAATTTTAAATCTTTTCTTTCTGAGCAGAAAGATTTGCTGATATGTGCTGATAACAAGCATCATGAAGAGCCTGCTTCATGTCACTAAAAAAATTAAAACTAGGAAATTATCTAGAATAGCAGGATGGTAGGAACTGATCTAACATAACATTTTTTGTTCAAGATATTCAGAAATATTAACTTTGTATTAAACAGAAATTGTGGGCATTTTTGCAGTTGTTATTTCTGCATATAAAATGTACCTTATGTGGCCTTGATTCTGCAAGTATTCCAAATTAGTATGTGTGAGGGAATAGAAAGAAACAGGATTGAAAACAAAAGAAAACCACTGCATTGCCAATCTTAACAAGCATGTGGCAACGTGATTGCTGGCACAACAAATAAAAGCATGAATATCTCTCATTTTAAAATTAAAACAGATTTTTCTTTCATTTACTTTCTAGCTATTCTACTAGAAGGCCTGGTTGTTGTCAGCATTTCCCTTCAGCTATCAAATGCAGAAACTGGAATTACAAGAACCCCCAAACACACTATGTATTCCCTATATCCCATGACATTCAGGGGCTGCTGAATAATCCAGTATTGATGGAGGTGGATTCCCTCAAGATTGTTCCAAATATCCTTTGCAACATCAGCCCCTACTCAGGGCACTCAGGAAGGTTCTGTTGTGGCAAGACTGACTGGGGGAGTGGAAAGAGGAAGCAGCTCATTTTAAACAGCAGATTACAACAGCAAAAGTCAAAGATGAAATTGCAAAGAAAACAAAGTACTCAGGAAAAGAACCCAGACAAGCCACTAAGCAGCGTTCACTTCCATGCTATTTTGCCTCTAAGCATTGGAGAAGCTACCCCAGCAATTGTTGCAGCATTTGGTAAGCAGAGCAGATGAAGATGCAAAGGTACTCAAAGAAAGGGGACAAAAGACCACACCACACAGACTTATCAACACACTGTGTACATAACTCTGCTTTTTCCTTTTTTTTTTTCTTTCTTTTTAAACAGTGTTTAAGAAAAATATGCTGTGTTACCATAACAAACTAAAATACTCTCTCAACCTCTTAAGATTTTAGTTTTCAACTATTTTGGTTCCATGTAGGTTTTATTTTTCCTTGTCTACTTTATAAAGTCTCAACTTTAATGGCTTCAGGAAGAAGAAATAAGGGAGAATGATGAGCACAGAAGAGGGCTCACAGTGTTGTTCCTTTCTCTTGTGCACTACAGGCAGGCAGGGGTACAGAAGAAATAGGGTATCATGTTTCTCTAGAATACAGTCAGACAGGAATTCCAGCTGGCATTCACTAAGCAAAAGGGAACATTTTCTTCATTTAAAGTAATTGCTTAAATCCCAGCCATACATAGTTCTGGAATAATGGGGTCACTTATTTTCCTCTAGTTCAGTAAGATGCTGCAGCAAGCCAATGATTCCATGAGACAGACGGTTTAAAGCATTGATTTGCTGCAAATTGCTCAATCCATAACTAATGAACAGCTCTACAGATTTTCAGTGAATCAATCCCATTAGAATTTACAGTTTGCATAAGACCATATTACCTTTTGTGGACAGAGAATGAGCTGGGTCGTTTTTTTGGTTTTTTTTTCTGGTAACCTTCAGCAGCCCCTTCTTGTTGCTGTTTTTCTTAAACTCATTTTTAATTTCTATTGGTAGGTTGGATAAAAATCCCTCTCTTGAGGGTATGACAGCATGCCTGAAAAAATACACCATCCACATCTACATAGGCACACATGCATCCCTTGTCAAGCCTAGATATTCCCGTGGAGAAGACAGCTAATATCCAAAAGGCAGGAGTTCAGCCCCTGTAGCACTAAAGCCCTGCCCCACTTTGGAGGTGGATTATGTGTTTTACACCTGTAAGAATATGAAGTTAGATGGCAACTGGTATTTAGACCCACAGAAGTAATTTTTCCATAACAAGCTGAAATCTCTCCTGTGTGAAAAAAGTAGCAAAGGCAAAAACTTTAATGGATTGAGTGACAGGACTTTTGTCACACATCTGCAGGGTAGAAACAGGAAATTGAGAACTATGCTTGCTAACAGATCAAGTTCTGGATCACTTTATTAGTGTGTGCACCAGGAGGTTTGTACCACGTTCTCCCCAGGCTTTGTAAGAAAAGGGTCAGTTCTATCAGTATCAATTACTACAACAAGATCATTTTAGGCTAAACAGTTATAGGCAAGCAGAAGTTCAAATCCTGTCAATGAATTCATAGACTCTGAAAAAACATTGTATTGGTTGCTACAAAAGAGCTGTGGCTGGAGGGCTGTTTGTTAGTAGGGGAGTGTTGAATCATCCCACTCCAACTGCTCTTGCCTGGTGCCATTCTGTTTGTCTCCCTTTTGGACAATCACTTCCTCCTCCTCTTCCTCCTCTTCCTCCTCTTCACTGTCATCTGATTCAGCACTGGTTGTGTCTTCCTCTTCATCATCTATGTCTTCTTCCTCACTCTCCTCTTCTGTCTGGTGTGGCTTTTCATATTTCTACAATACATTTAAAGAAATGAGACAGTAGCAGAAAGGTGCCTTCTTGCCAGCCAGAGCTGTCTCAAATGAGCATTTAGAAATGCTAACATGATGGGCAAATCTGCTTTCCACCATTATGTGATTATCAGGCATCAAATTCATACAAGTTGCTAGCACACATTCAAAAAATACTGTAAGAAGAATGGATTTCAATAACCAATCTATTTGTTACCCACACTGCCAAAATTTAAACCTCCAACATCAGCTCCTTTAAACTGCTGATGATTTCCCCTCCTTTTAGTGTATAAATGCTGACATGAAAAAGTTAAAGCCAAACCAACTGCTATCTTGGACACCTACAAACAGACATAAATTGAATGGAAGCGATGCTGGACCTGAGAGTTCTTCACCATCTTCTTTAGTAATTATACACAACAACAACTCTGAAGCTCTCAATTAGATCTGATCTAGGTGTGCAGTGCTGATAGCTGGGCTGGGCTCCTGAGTGTGCAGACCCACAGCTGAACAAGTGCACCCTGAAAGAGGCTCAAACCTGCTGCCAGTCCCGCCAGTGGCTCCTGGCAGTGCCAGGGCGCAGTGCTGTGCCCCAGTTATGTACCTCCATGGGGTTGACAGTGATGGTGAGAGCAGAGTCATCCCAGTCCATCTCGCTCTCCCTGGCTCCCTCGTGCCCCACGGAGCCGCGCTGACGAGCCGAGCGGAGCCGGAACACTCCCAGGGTTATCACCAACACCAGGATGCTCACACAGATGATGATAACGATTGTGGCCACGCCGGGAATCACTGGGACAAAGGGTGGCAGAGGGAATGCAATTACATTTGTGGAACAAGTCACCTAAACCCCACTAACCTGGTTAGCTTTCAACCCACAGCACGCCCTCCTTTGGCCTGAGAAGCAGGACAGACACTTGCCTGGGATGACAGCAAGTGTGGACCAGTGCCCATCCACTAAGGAGGAGCACACACAAACGATGTTCTCAGATATCCTGAGTGTGATAAATCCTAACTAAACAGTGGGCATGCTCTTTGAGCCACTTAACTACAGAAGACAGGCAGTTAGTAAGTGCAGAATCAGTGAGTTTTTGCAGTAAAATTCTGTTACCTCACCTGCGTGTTGACCCCTTCTGATCTCACCTGAGGACTCAAATTATACATCTCAAAGCTGGTATTTTCAAAGGTTTCAAACACTTGTGATTTAAATCTTGAGCTCCCAGAAACAAATGCATTGCTACCCTATTTGCCTGTGTTTACAACATTCCTGGGAGACTCTTGAGACTTAAGACATTTTTCCTCACTGTTTGGTTGCACTCTGAGAAGCCACAGGAAGAAATCTCTCTGAACTACCACATGTAGTCAGCTCCACAATTAGGTTAGTGGAGAAATGCTGCCACTCTCTGTGGTACTCTCAAGGTACTGCAGTTCCAGGAACAACAGTATAACCCAATCCACAACCCATTTTATTGACTTGCCCTGCCTATAAGAATGGAAGTATGAAATCAAAACAGTATTTAGGAACAAAAAATAAAAAACCTGCTTTGCAATAGTTTATCCATGAAACATTCAGTTTCATTTTAGTGAACTGTCTGCACAATATAAAGAAAAATACAGTAATTTTCTAAGCATGTCTGTATGTAGCTACTTATAACTTATACTCTTTACATCAGCTTTCCTTTTTTACATATATATCATTCAGCTAAAAGGATTTCAGAATCCAACTTTTAAACAGGTATCTTTGCCCTGGATTTAACTTCACTGAAAAGGTTTAAGATTTGGGTATATATCTTAACTCATATAAAAAAATTTAATAAAATTACATAATTAAAATTAAAATTAAATAAAAATACATCCTATTTTTAGGATGCACATGACTAGATGAACCTTTCTTATCTCCAGAGAGCCCAGACTGAGGCCTTGACAGCAGCTAACAGAGGCACTGCAGCAATTTTGCATTTTAAAAATAATACAGTTTCTTTCTTTTGTTTAGAGTGGGTAGAAATTAATATGCCACAGAACTACAATTGTGTAAGAATAATGTAAGCATAAATATTACCCTTCATACTATTCAATACTAGAAACAAGGCATTTTTAACTGCAGGGGTCAGAGGTACAAAACCATCAATGAAGACTTTAAAAAACGATACCAGGTTTTAATTGCAAAGTACATTCTTGGACAGAACATAATCCAATGTTACCTTCTTCTGCACCTCTGCAGTGATCTCTGAGAGGTTTTGGAAGCTGAAATAAAGGACCTCAGGGCTTCAGTCTGTGGAGCAGGCTGACCCACAAGGGAAGCACTGACACACTGGAATCATTGTGAGCAGCCTCTGGGAAGTTGTCACGTACCTGAGCTGTGAGCTGCACTTACACTCCCCTCAGGGTGCTGAACAGATTGGAGAAATTTGGGCTGGACTATCATGTGATTTACATGGTCCATGAAGTTGGAGTTGGAACTGTGTAGAATATTAATCTGGGAGAAAAGAAAAATAAGAGACTAGATACTAAAAAGGATTTTATACTCCAAGCCTGCTGGTTCCATATATTACATTGGACTATGAAGTTCATCAGCAGATAGGAATACTGCTTCATAGATTCTAAAGACCAAATTAACTTATTTTTTTATGCCTGTGGACAATACACAGCTTTGTAGCATGAAAAATGCATTCTAACCTTTCTGGCTCTTGACTCTGAAGTGGCACAGATCAGGACTCTTTTGATTTACCTGTTTGGACAAGCAGTGACTTTTTCTCCTCTCTGTATTAATCAGCTTTTAGGTGTTACCTAAACATTATGGCATAGCTGTTAATTTCATTAACAATTATTAAGCCGTTAACTGTCTTTACAAACAATTATTAATTCTCACCATACTGCTAAGTGGGCCCTGCAGTTTCCTGGAGCTGTTGCCTGGGCTCCAGGTGGGAACACAAGACTCAGACATCGCTCACCTCCAGGTTGAACTCGTTGCTGGTGTAGCGCCCGTTGAGCTCGGAGCACTTGACCCTGAATTTCCTGTCGGAGGTGGCCGAGCTGCCCCAGTTGCGGTAGCGGAGCTGCCGCAGCACCTGCTCGTAGCTGAACATGCTGTCAACACCTGCAGGGTGGGAGGGCAGGGACAGCTCAGGGACAGCCAAGGGAACGCTGCTCTGGTGATGCACAACCACACAGAACACATGGAAACTGGTGGAAAGGTCTGGAAGTGACAGGGCATCAAATGTTCCCTAATGCTGGAAGCCTGGGCACAGAGAAATTCATGCTTTCTGTGCTGACAGGCACAGACCCACAAGAAAACACTGTTTGGCCTGAGGCCATGGGAAAGGCTTCCAAAATTAACAGATACAACTGGAAATGCGAATGTATATTAAATCACTAGGTGAGAAAGCTAGAGTTTAGGGTTTAAGCTACATTAGTGAATAAGAGACAACATGGAGGATTTAGGGTAATGTCCCTTCCCCTTTCTCTTTCTTCTTTTAGGGTTTTTGGGTACTGTTAGGGCATTGGATGGAAGAATCCGCATTGCAGGACACAGGTGTTTGGTTATTGGGTTATAAGTGAAAATAAGCCACTTGGCATTTCATTATTGGGTGAATTGACACTTAAAAGACCTTGGAGAGATACTTCCTCCTCCACTTTGTATCTTGTTATCCTAGAGTACATCAGTCCTTACTGTCTGTCAAGATGTAATACAGATAGGAAAGAATAAACATCCTAAGCCCAAACATGAAAACAGTCTCTCTCTCTCTCTCTCGTTAATCTTGGTCCTGAGGAAAAAGAACTGAGCCATCAGTGTCACACCCTGACACCCCGATCCTCAATTATGTGAGGATAGTTTTCAGAATTGAATGTAGGTCCCTAATGGAGAGGGGTAAATACATAACAATGGTACAGAATAAATTACTTAGTGACTAGAAAAAGTTGGCCAGTTTCCCAGCATTGCACAGGAACACTGAGGAACCCCCTCACTCTCATGTTCCACTGTGATGGTCCACAAGAACTCCAAATTTCAAGGAAGCAGGGATGCCATTTTCCTTACCTGGGGAGTAGCAGGAGGGATGCTGGGAATCCTAAGGGCAAACACAGCACATCCAGAGATCAAGAAGCAACTGTGTTTTTTTAAAGATACAGTCACTCTTGGGATATTTTCATGGCTAGAAAATCACAGATTTCTGTCCAATCTCTTACACATTTGAGCTTTTGTTCCAATATATAAATGATGTGACAAAATAATGGAAAATAAATTTCATGAACTTACCATAGATTGAATATCCTGCAGTGGAATTTGTGGCATCTAGATGTTTTCCTTGAAGCTCCCCATGATCTAGTTCTAAACACTCCTGCTGGGGGTCTAGTTCTGCACCAATGACCAAAACATCACAGAAATCCAAGTTGTGGACCATTTCCTCTACTACCACTTGCTTATTGGCTGTGAACCCATGGCATAGAGCATGGAAGAAAAAGAAGGAAATGAAGAGAAATGATCACAGAACAGCTCAGTTAATTCATGTGCTTTGCATTACAGCTTTCAATTTTTGCCAAGATGGCTGAACTGTTTTTGCTGATATTAAATCCAGCACACTTGAAGCAAATCAAGGGAAGCTTCATGTCTGTACAGGGGCTGTGATGATGAAGGCTTACAAATACCCTCTAAGATAAATAGAAAATATATTGCTCTATAATAAAAGGTACCCAAGAACATTACTGGAAGTAGAAAACTGAGATTTGATCTTGGAAATAAAGTACTATAAAAAATTCCAGGTTTCAATGCTGTATTGATACCAGCTTTCTCAAGGAAAATCAAACTGGAAAAATACACATCCAACATATTTATGCTGGATGATTCTCTTAGTTACTCTATGCCCCATAAACAATTTGCATTACAAAGACCTGGCCACCTATCCAAGAGCAGGGCATTATTATAAATAGCAAGAGCCTGTGCTGTGTGAATCAAAGAAATTAAGTTATAAAGTGACTGTCCTTCAACATGTACAAGTGAAAAAATAATTCACTGGAAAAAGAGTAACATATCAAGTTAGTATTTAAATCCTCTGATCAACTTAGCACTGAGTGCATGGCAAAACTGCTTAAACAGCTCCCTGAGGGCACAGACACTGCAGTCCTGGAACTTCCTGCCCATTTTGTGAAGATGATGTTAGAGGGTATCCTGGGAAGGAAGGCACAGCCAGGAAAGCCTTACTCCTAAGATTGCCAACTCCTGGTGCAGTGACTCTGGGTACCTAAGCTCTAGGTACAGCCGTGACATATCCAAAAATGCAGCCCAAGTCAAATTTGAAGGCTTTAGGTAACCCATGTCCCTAAATTTGCATATCATTACCCATTTTCTCTTCTCCAGAGACTTACATCTAGTTGCTGCTTATTCTAGTCCAACAGTGTTTAGAATGATCTCTCAAATTAGGCATTTCATCTGCCTTGCACACTAACATGCAAAAGGAATATTCCTTTACAGACAGTGATTTTAAACTTGATACATACTTTTGATGCATACTTTTGAACATTCACACAGTGTTGAATAATAATACATACATTGCTTAGCATTAGAAACTGTCATCATTGAAAAGAAATATTTTAAAAGGATTATATATACTTTTATAGGTGGGAAATTGAGACATGAGATTACTTTATCAAGTATCACTCACAAGCCAATTTCAGAACTGGAAACATAAGAACAGAGTAAAACTTCAACTTCTGTTCAATTACTGCTTTTCACTTTATCAACACAAGTACAAGTAGAGGCATTTTAATGAAAATAACCTATGTAACAGAGTATGAAAGGAAGAGTAGAAAGGAATTATTCTGAAGTATAATAAATAGACAATGCATGGAAAATCTGCTTTTTTTTAAGAACCTTTTGATCTTCCACCATTTAACACATTTTTCAATGTGTTGAATTGAATTTCTTCAGTACAGCATTACTGTGGCCTAATTAATCTGGGTGAAGCGACAACCTTTGCATTACTTCTTTGCACCAGCCTTTAAAAATATGAGGAGACCTTACAAAATGACTAATAATATTGTTGGGGGTTACGTGTCCTCCTTTTAGTTCTGGCTCACCTGTGGAATTTTTACTAATTAATTGTGGGGAAAACCTGACTGTGGGTACTTGGTGGGTGCATGGCAAAAGCCCAAGGGGGAAAGGGGGCAGGAGAAAGGAGGGTGGGGACAGTCTGGTGGGCTTTCTTCAGGTTTGGAGAAGGACACTTTGGGCACAGAGCTGTTGCAGTGGGGAGAAGGGAATTTCTCCATCACCCAGACAGAGCTGCTGCTGCTTCTCCTTCTCCCCTCTTTGTTGGTGGTCTCACACCCCCTGTCCTGCCGGGACGTGTGGCAGTGCCAGGTACCGCCAAGGAGCTGCTGATCCACCTCAGCCACCAGCCCAGGATCTCAGCTCATCCCTGCTGTTCCACCTCAGCCACTGCCCCAGGATCTCAGCTCATCCCTGCTGTTCCAGCTGAGTGTTCCTCAGAGCCCTGCAGGAGCACCGGCACTGCCCGAGGGGGTTTGTGAAGCAAAGCCTCTCCTCCATCCCATCTCAGCCGAGAAAGCTGTCCCAGGGTCCCTGGTTCTGTTTTCTTGTTAATGCTGTAGTTATTGTTTGTTTGTTTGCCTGGTTATACCAGTAAAGAACTGTTATTCCTATCCCCAGATCTCTGCCTGAGAGCCCCTTGATTTCAGGATTATAATAATTATGAGGGAGGGGGTTACATTTTCATTCCAGGGGAGGCTCCTGCCCTCCCTAGCAGACACCTGTCTTCCAAAACCGAGACAAATATGTAGAAGAAAAACACAAACCTCTGTCATATTCTCTCAAGTCCACTGAATGCTAGAAGAAAAACACAAACCTCTGTCATATTCTCTCAAGTCCACTGAATGCTCCATTTTGGTGACTGTGCTGATGATCCTGATGTCAGGTAACAAAATAACACCTCTTTCACTTTCAAACTCTGCAGCTGGTCTAGCAAAGTGGTCCATCCCAGTTATGGTAATCTTAGGCTCATTGGCCTGAAACACCATTACATAGGCATCTATGTCTGGGATATTAATGCAGACATCTTCACCAAAACACCTGGAAAAACACATCAGTCATTAACTGCACGTAACACATTGCAAATCAGAGGAGTGTGGCACGGGAACTGCTCCAAACCCAGCTCATGGCCCTCAGATCAGTCCAATTCATCCCCAGGCACTGCCACACATGAGGATATATTGCTGTGCCACTGTGCACACAGCCCAGCTCTGGCCCTCTCCTCCTTCACAGATACTCACTCTGAAGGAGAAAATCATTCTTCCCTAAGGTCACCATCAGAATAATATTTTTCATGTTTAACTGACATTTAACAGAGCAGTAAATGGTTAAAAAAGTTAACTAGGTAACAACTAACTTCAGTAAACCTAACATTAAATTCAGAAAGTGCTAGCAAACGAATACAATGTGGTTATCTTGTCATGTGTGATTAAAAGGGCCTAATTTTCCATTTAAATTGGTCCCATCATGAACTCTTTTTGGGACCCTCCAATATTTGCAGGGGGCAAAAAGGTACTTCCATTTTCATCTGAATCATGAGTGTGCTTTGGCAGTGAACTCCCTGACAAGCTCTGCCTCATTCCAGAGATATGTCCTCTGTTAGATAGAATAGGCCTGCTTTAAAAAGTCATGGCTCTGGCTAGCTCAGAAGGAACTCTAAATGTTTAAAATTAAAAGTAAATAAGATTGCAGTGAATGCACTGCTCAGTCCAGACCATACACCCCAAACTGTAAAGAGAAGACACATTAACAAGAAAGGTTTCTTAAGAAGACAATATCAAGAGAAAACCACCATGTAAATTGGCATAAATCTTTTAGGTTCAATAAAAAAAGCGGTATGATTTATTAATTTAATTTAGTCAAAATTATTCTTTTTACATGACCAAAGAACAAAGTAATTCATTAAAAATGTTCCTTATTTATTCAGTTCAGCTGATGTATAACTTACTGGACTTTAGATGAGACTTTGAGACATCGTATGCCTGCAGTAGGAAACTGTCTGGAGTTGATGTATGAGACCTTTCGAAGGGCTTGATTTATATTCTCAATGTCATCTCCTTCCATCACAAGGACTGACTGGGAAGGGTTGAAGTGATACTAGGAGAGATGCAAATAATTAGTGTTTAAGGGACCAGGTACAGAGTACAAAATAGTGTATTTTTTAAGGAATGTTGCACAGATGGAAGTTAAAAATTTAATAATTTAAGAAAAAAAAAATTTTAGTAGCTATCGTTGGCTGGATCCACATGTTGCTCTCTAAAACATGTACTTGTATCACCTAAATAACTACTGTTATAATTAATTTTATAGTAAATTATTCCAGATTTGTTGTTCTTTGCCCAGCCTTATCAACCTTGATGATACAATTTCTGCAGCATTTTCCAATGCTATTTATTTTTGAACTCTGTAGATGTTCAAAACCTTTAACTTACCACCATGACTATTATTCCTATGTAATCTTTTTTAGGTTAAACACACTCCCCATATAAAAGCATTGCCTTTTGAGCCAGCCTGGTGTGCAGAAGCATATTTTGGCTGCTTTCTGTGTGGTTTTATCCTGGGACACCTTTCTGAGGTGTATTTCAACATGAACAAACACAACACTTACAGCATTTGCCTCCCACATCTTCATTAACGTCAGACACACTAAAGGAGGCTCTCCATCCTGTCTGATGATCAATAAGGGTGTCATGATTTAAGACAGAGCTGCTCACTTGGGCCAGCAAACCCTGCAAAGTCACTGCCTGTGCTTGTAGCCCCAAGCCTTCTCTACTCCACTGCAGTGAACACACATCAGTCTTGCTGACCGAGAAACTTTGTCACTATTGTGACATAACCAATGACTGATCTGTACCTTCACTGCAATTAATCCTAATTCCATGTTTTGTCTTTGAATTGGTTCAGTAAACCATCTGCACAGCAGAGGAAAGCAGTGTAACCCCCTACTGCTGTCAGCACGGAACACAAACACACCTCTCTCTCCTGGGTACTCCCTCCCCAAAAAAGCTGGGCATGGATTACATGAACACGTTCTGTTAAATACAGACAGTGGCTGCCTACACTTCCTTACAGCCAGAAAGGTTAAAAAGCAAAACACATCAAACAGACTGTGAAGAACAGGAGGAAGTGCAGGGCCCTCTGGTGAACAGAACGTGGAGGACTGGGTTAAAAGCTTGTGCAGGAAGATCACAACATACTGAAGGGTATTTTTTAACAAAGAGGAGGACTAACATGAATTGCAGCCTGCATACACCTCTTTTTCCTCTCTTTAAGCTAGCAGCAGTAGAGAATAAAATTAGCAAAAGGAGACTCTAGCTAGCCAGTTAATAGCTCAGCTGCCAAAACAGCTGGAATGCTGCCAGAGGGACTGGAGAAAGCCCCAGTTCTGAGCCATTTTTGTCTTTCTCATTAAAAAAAGCTAAAAATAGCAACAGCTTAGGCAGTGTCGCAGAGAGCTGTTAGAGACAACTGAAAATTAGGCTGCAGCCCAAAAACGTCCAGCACAATCATGTCAGAAACTGCTGCTGCTCTGCTCTTTCTCAGCTGGTTAAAGGGTGAATCTCCATGACACAAAGGGCCTGGAAACACCTTCCAGCATCAGTCTGTCAACACTTAATCTGCAAAGCACCACATAAACAACCCCACAGAACCCATCATCTGTGCAGCTGTCACACTTACCTGTCTGGGATCAGGTGTGTTTGTTTTTCACACCACACCACCTTTCTCTCTAATTTTCTCTTCAAGGTCAGGCAAGGTTCTGCTTTCAGCTGAGCTTCCTTCTGTCAGCCCCCCAAAGAAACCCTTCCACAATATCTCTGGCTGTTCCTTTCATTTTTGCCTCCTGCTGTTGCTCTTACTCTTGGCTTGCTGAGGCAGTAAAAGCAACATCAGTAACTTAAAAAAAACCACTATGCCTCATCTGTATTTCAGAAAATTAAGATGTTTTGAAGGTTTGCAAAAGCATGAAAAGGCAGAAAACAATCCCTTATCTTCCTTTTACCCTCTGCACTGCCAGTACATTAAGGAAGTCACAAATGCTGGACCAGCAGTTGGTGGCAGAAGAGGGATTTTCCCAAGCCCATGAAACTGGGGTGACTCAAATATTGTCAGGTTTCAGAGGGCAACAATAGAGGAGGAATTACGATGCTTTTAAGCACCATGGAGAAGTGTACAGTGCTTTAATTAATGGAAAATCCCAGCAAAGAACTTACTGTTAGGCATCTACCATGTGGGTTCCAGAAATGCCAACCTGCTCCTGGTGTATACTGCATTTTAAAAACAGCTTAAACCAACCCCTGTATCCTGTTGCTGTGAGAAGCAGCAATGTGAAATTCTTAATGATGTTGCTGGTAGGATGATAATAGAATTCTTTGGGGTCTTTCCTCGTATGTAAAAGAGCTAGCAAAATTCCTCATTACTTTTGCACTTTCAATTTTCATTTTTACCCTTGTTTTCACAAAATGTGTCAGTTATCACTGCAAACTATCATCACCTGGACACACAACGTCTATAAACTGACATTTCAGGTCAGTCTATACAACAGAAAGGTTTGGCTAATAAAATGCAGTCCATGGTATTCCCACTGCAATGTTCCAGGTGAGGTGTTTCAGCACCATCCTCCTCCCCTCGAGGTGTTTCAGCACCATCCTCCTCCCCTCTGAGAACTCCACAACAAAACTGGTTCAGTTTTGTGGGACACATTGTGTGCACCCAAAGGAACTTCCTGAGCTGGGTCTGAATCTCAGCTCCTTTGGAAGTGGAATTTGGGTAGCACGAAACAGCTTCACAAGTGCATTTACACTGAGCACAGGAACACTGTCACCAGATGATGGTGTCAGTAAAGGAAAACTGACAGTGCAGCTCATGTGAGCATTGGGATAGCCATGATCCTACAAAGAACAATTGGATGCATTCTGTATCTAAAGAACAGGATTTCATAATTCTCTGAATGAATGCAAAGCCAGCTGACCACTAGGTCAACTGAAACAGGATTTCTCTCTGTTACTCTCCAATCTTAGAAAAAGCTCTACATTACCAGTAATCATATGCGTATTGAAGATGGATAATGACTTACATTTAAATCTAAAAATTTAATTTATTAACTTTAGGAGTTTTTATTTTTAAATTTTCATGTACCATAAAGTTTTCCTCTTTGAAAACACTGAATTTTAGAATGCTATTGCATTAGGACTTATGTATTCCACTGCTTTAAAACTACTTGAGATCAAAATTCAATAAATCTTTGGTATCACGTCTATTTCTGTACAAGTTACAAAATAAGCAACCTAGCAATTCATACAGACTCTGAAATATCAGCAGTGTGTTACTTTTTGATCATCCAGCACTGCAATAATGGAAATGTTTTTCTTTGCAGTGTCACAGCTCTTCTACTGTTCTGTTTTTTTCTTTGCATGATTTTATGGGAAATTACCTTGCTTCTGGGAGTACATCTGAACTGTGTACACTCTACCTTGGGCTCCCCACTTCATAAATCACATCCAATTTTTTATCAAAGATGATGTCAGTTCATCCCTCACCTTTATTCCTTGGCCAAGACTCTCAAGAGAATTGATATCGAGGCCTTCCTTGCAGGCCTGCAAACAGGAAATCACTTTCTGGCTCTCAATTTTCCCTGGCCGGATTGTCAGACTGGCCAGGCTGCCGTGGAAATACTGAGCAAACCTGGCCTTGGTGACTTCACCTCCTGCAAGAAGAAGGATGCAAAATGGTTATTGGTACCAACACACAAACTGCACATGTAATAAATCACTTTGTGTTTTAATATATTTAAAGAATCTCAATCCATCTTAGCCAAGTGTATTTGAAATCCCATTTATTGTGGTACAGAGGAATATCTTTGTGGGTTGGGTGGTAGCTGGTAGCAGGATGACTTTAAGATGCTTGTTTTTCCAGGATTGTATTCAGGTATTTATAAAGCTGAGACAGCAAACCCAGATATGAAACACGGTTTCCCACAAGGAAGCATGTGATTTCTAAAAACGAACCTATTCAAGTACTCACACACCAATCTAATAAATGTTTAAGTCCAATATTTATTTATAGAGAAGCTGTATTTGCAAGCATTCCATGACAAGATCAGCTACCTCTGCCTTTGTCCTCCTGAGAACACGGTCCCAGATGAGCTGACAGCGGTGCCTCTGTACACGAAGTGCCACATTCCCTGGGCTGGGTCTGAGGACACACTGGGGACTGCAGAGTGAGCAGGGACCTGTGTACAGCCCCTCTCTAAGAGGCTGGGAGTGCTGTGACAGACTCAGGGAGCATCATTTGGTCCTGGCACTCTGTGTAGCACCAGCCCCTGCAGACACGCTCAGCTCGCTTCTACTCCAGGAGGCTCCCAAGGAAGACTGATCTTTAGAAGCTGTCAATAAAATGTGATTACAGACTCCTGCTCCAGTGATCATGGCATCTCAATTACTCTTGGGACAGTTAGTGATTTGCTCATCCTCCTTTAGGAGCATTTTTAAAGCTTGTTTTTCCTTCAGTGTTATCTCTCACAGTGCATGTGAATTACGGCCTACCTCAGGCCTGGGAGGACGGAGGGAGCCACAGGGCAGCCAGCTAGGCAGACTAATTGGATTAGCAGCTGATAGCCTGTTGATAAGGTGTTGTAATTGGTAGATAACTCATCTCTACGGTGTTTGTAGCTTTAGTGTCAAACAACTTGTTTTTGCCAGGCAAGATAGCTCAAGCTTGAACTTGAACTTGTGTGTGGATAGGGATGAAGTGGCAGATTTTCTTTAGGCTGCTATTGTTCCTAAAAACCTGCAAACCCTCACTTCCAGCCTCTGCAGGATGAGCTATTTTATATAGTGAAGAAAACACACACTGGTATGCTGGCAGAAAAGAGGCATCCAAGCAGGCTGTTTCTTCAGAGAAATAGGCAGGTTTTGTTCTTCCTTTTTTTAACATTACAGCATAAACTGCCTCTTTTTCTTACCCCAACAGAAGGCTCACAAGGGGCTGTTGTTCTTGTCCACTTGTCCACTCTCATTCGTTTGTCCATTACGTGGGAAATTTCCTCTGGGCAGAATTTTGTTGAGATTTCCTAGAAACTTTTACATTTACAATAGCTATAGTTCAGCCTTTCTGATACTTACCAAGACAATTATTTGGTAATTATTTGGTGAATCGATAGTGCATTATGGGGACATTTGCTTTTCAGCCAAAATGCTGTTATATTTATCTTCTTACATTGTCTTTAAAAGTACGTATACAGCAGTAATGTAACTGGACAGAAAAAGGTGTGCCAAATTAAAAAAAAGAAAAAAATAAAAAAGCAAACCTCTTCTTAAAAAGAAGACTAAGAGAGAAAACCATTTAAGAGCTTACAGAAGAAGTAGGAATCACATTTTGTTTGAAGCTTCACATTCTCGTATCACTACAGGATTGCAAAGATAGCAAATTCCAAGGCTAAAATACCAACGCTAATCCTGGAGCTTTGAAATTTAGAAATATAATAAGTCTGCCAGTATAATAAGTCTGCCAGTAGTTTTTAATACTTCTGAGGTGATGCAAAATAAAAAGCAGGTTCAGATCAGTGAATGTATTTAAACGTTAAATACACTCATTAAAATGTATATAAAAGACCAGACAAGAAGACAGAACAAAGAACTCAGTGCTGTGGCTTTGCCTGACAGAAGAAGCTGAATGAACCAAAGCATACATGAACAGATATTGGTTGTTCTTCCACTTTGGACTAGTTCTCCTCTGGTATTCTTGACACAGAACTTACAATTACATTGCAAGTCCATTAGCAGTGATACAGTATTTGCCCATAAATCATTCAATGTGCAGGGTATTCACTGTGCCTAAGCCACGCTTTTGAATAGTGCTGGTGCACAAGGAGGTATTGCCATCTTGGAGATGTATAATTCTCATTTAAAGTCAGTTGTCCATCCACCAACATCAAAGCATGGAAAGGAATATAAGTGTTTCCAGGAATAAGCTTTTAAAATACTCTGAAAATACAGGCACTACAAAAACATTGAGCATTTAAAGAACTAGACTTACATACCCTCTTCAAGGGAATGAGGGTGGTGTTTTGTGTGGGTGCAGAGATTGAGACTCGACTGTGAAGGAGGTGATATAATCTTTGCTTGTAAAAGGCTGTCAAATGTTATTTAAACAAAAATCCCCAAGTATTTCAAGAAAATGTGAGTGAAAAATAGATGAAGTAGCCAGTGTCATAGTGTGTGAGCAGAGAAAATCTGGAGGGCCATGGTGATGACAGGGTGATCCAGGCTGAGACATGAACAACTGAGAGCAGAGTCTGCAGGGACATGGAGGGATGAGGCACTCTGTCCCCAGCACCAAGACAAATAGCTCTGTACCTAATCTATTCTTGAGAATATTGCCTGAGCTTTCCAAACTCTCCTGAAGACAGAGGCTCCCCAAGCAATCCCCTCCACTGACCACTGACCCTTGAGGTGTACATTTATTCCCAATAGGAAATGTGAGTGGTAAAATAGAGCTGTATCATTTTCCTTTGCCAGGCTGAACAAGGACTTCTCTTTACATCTTCCACCTAACACTGTGTAATCACATAAAAAAACCAAAAGCACTTAAAGAGGGAATACCATCTTGTACCAAATTGCTAAATAAGCCTTCCATAAGCAACTCTTCCCAGTGTTAAAGACAAAATGATGTACCTGCCAATTCTGAACTTGAAGGTAAACAGAAGTCATTATATCTGACTCTTCTTATAGTTGCTTGTAATAGCAGCATGCTGTCATTTTGATATTCTTTTTTCTCAGCATTTCAGAGTCTTCTCAGCTCAGTGGGGTATGTTAGCTGCTGATGTTCAGTAATTATTAGATTGCAAATGGACAAAATCAAATGCAGTAAAACTGGGAAGCAAAACCCAAAACTCTCACTAAAATTAAAGGAATGACCTAAAGCCAGTTTCCTACAATCCTGCTTTCTAGCTCTGATAAAATGTTTTATTCATACTTGGTTTTACTGTATTAGTGTGTTTGAAAGCTGTGTTTCCTTCTACTTCTGCAATCTGATATTCTTTGAGTATTTGACTTCAGCTTCTCAGTGGGTGGAAATTTAGCTCGGGATGGCCAATCTCCAAATCCTAGACACTCTAAAATTCTGAGCTCCCAAGACTAGATGACTATAAATATATTTAATCCAGAATGAACACGACAATTCCACTGCATGTGTAAGCACAATGGGCAACTGTACCTAATGCTGATAGTAACATTTTACAGAATATTATTGAAATTCTTCTAAATACTGATTTTTTTTCAAATAGAGATCATTTGACCCTGAGCATGATTCATTTCATGCTCCCCAGGCAGCTCAGAGTCAGTGGCTTCACTGGGCAGGAGGATGCTCAGTTCCACTGCCTGGATTTGACTCAGCACTGACATTACCACCTGCTAAGAAACAACTGAGAAAAGAAATCAGTTGCTCCTAACAGCCCTTACTGCTTTAAGACAATTTGAGCTCTGTTCTGACACCAAACTGAGCCCACACAACAGCGTTTTAGGGATAATGAAGAAGACCCAAATAGATTACACAGAGAACAAAGTGCAGCTCCAGTGACAATGGTCTTGAGGTAATCCAAGAATACAAAAATTTGTTCTGTAACACAGCATCTCCAGATTCTCTCCAGAGATCAGCATACCCAGTAAACCTGGATTGCCTCAGCAAGGTTCATGGCACTTCTTTGATGTCAGGGTCTTTTTGCCCTTTCCTACAAGTGAGATACTGCTCAGATACAGCTCATCTCCACGGAGATGTTGGTAAGTTCTGAGAGAATGAGAAAACCTAGGCCTCAACTATGTTGTATCTGTGTTTCACTCAGCACTATGTTTATTGTTTATGGGTTTTTAGATTAAAAAAGGAAAACTATACCACAGTAACATACAGTATACCTAATTTTTAGTAGATAAAGCTCATATTGATAATGCCAGAACAAATCATGCAACTTTCCTCATGCACAGAGTGTCATTAGAGCTGGGAACCATTCCCCAGGCTTGGTTTCAAGTAATTTGGCCATTTCCTGGGCTGCAGTAAACTTCACCCAGTGCCTGACAGTCCCTGGGAAGGGTCTCTTCTATCACTTTTAAAGGCTGGCTTTCTGCCCTTTCAACCATCTTCACTTCTTGCTTGTCTCCAAGAATCTGCCCTTCAGGAAGAGGCTGACTTTCCCTCCTTTTTAGAGAGTCCCAGCACTTGATTCACATTATTTTAAAAAAAAATTGCATAAAATCAGGAACAATCAAATCAGGCGAGATTTTTACATTACCAGGGAAAAGTGTAAAGATGTAGGAGAGATTTGCTGATGGCACAGACAAACCAAGGCACAGTGAGCACATCATAGGCTAAAGCTGGGATTTGTCACATAAGCCTGAAGAACTGCACATTTGGTTTGTTTTTGTGTTATGGTCAGGAGAACAGCACTGATCTTAAACTGCTCTTATATTTCACTTGAGCAGCTGAAGGTAGAAATAAAAAAACAACCTAACTTTTCATAATGGATGCTATAAACAAGGCTATAAAAGTCAGAAAACAGTTACTCAGTCACTGAAATATTAATAATAGGCAATAATAACCTTGAAGAATTTTCCATGTCCAAGATTCCTGTGGGATACAACTCTGAGAAAGACAGAGGGAAGGTGCAGGCATGGTGCTTGCTGCAGAACACCAGGATGGGGACCAGTGTCAGTGATGAAAAGATCAGGGCTCACTTGTATCACAGGGGACACTCAGGCTCCTAAAGAAGCAGCAGAACAATTCCCAGTTTCCAAACCAGAACTGAACATTTTCACCTACAAGAGGGTAAATCCCTCATGGCAGTGCCAGATTTTCCTACTGGTGCTAACAGACCATTAATTGCAATTCTTGTTCTTGATTTTTCACTGTCCTCTAAACACTCTCTTCCTGCTCCCTGCCAGTCCTTCAGCCACCCCACAGCCACGACGACTTTTGGCTGTCAGCAAATCAGTCAGTGTGGGAAGAAAAAAAACAATGTTATTTCTTCTGATTCATTTACTTGTCTGAGACTGTTTTTCAAATAATTTGACTTTGACAAACGCATGCTGTGTACTCAGAGCATTAAAGTGGTTTAGTAAAGATGGAAAAGAAGGTCTTGCCCTTTCTGAAGGAAGAGGTTACAGCAGAGCTTTGATGAAAAGAAAGGAAGTAGTAGCAAAGCAGAGCTTGGAACTCTTCATATCCTCTTAACAAGGACACTCCTTATGACACCAAAATCACTTTTTACTTTACTGAAATAAATCATAGAATATTGTAAAGCAGCTTTATAGTGCTTTGAAAATACAGAGGTTTCAACTATTGTTACTGGCTAAAATGTATTAGCCTAAGTAGACTTACTAACAGTTTCACAGAAAGTATTTGTAGCTAAAATATTTATTTGATAGAGCCCCTTTTTCTTGAAATATGAAAACTTGGAAAATTAATGTTTTGACTAGAATAGATTGGGTTTCTATGTTGATTAATTACTATTTCACAGACTGAAATACAGTGCTGAATCTTATTAACAAAGTAACTTTCCACACCATTCATTTCAAACAGAATGAGGGGTTTAAAACAAATGTACCAAATGATAAGCTTTGTCAAAAGCAGTATCTTGAAATCTTGTTTCACATAACCATTGAAAGTTTATCTTTTTGCTTAGCACATGATAGTTTATCAGATTCTTTAGCACACTGTATTACTAAATCTTAGCATTTTTACAAGGTGGAAAATTTTTTTCTACTTTTGAGGCACTCCAATTCTCTTAGTATTAAAAGAGCAATAACATAATATTGCTGTAAATATTAATGGCAGCTATAGGTACGATTTCAGTCATTTTAATCAGGTGTTTCACCGTAACAGAAGAAGAATCTTATCCTGAATGGCTAATTAAGCCATCAAATTAGCCCAGGCAAAAATAAAAATGCTTGAAAATGATTGCAACTTTTTATTTAACAGCTTAAATATGAAATATACTCTGTTGTCTGGATGTATTGTGAGCCTATGGGAGCAGTTTTGCCTTAATTCCTCCTCAGACAGAGGTGCAAAGGGAACAAGGTTATCATTGTTGAGCCTCTATGGCATTTGCTCATCTCTGGAAAGAACTAAATTTACAAATGACATCGGCATTTGCTAACTCCAGAACTTTGATCTAAAAGTACTTCACCAATACTGCACAACAAAAAAATCAGCCCATGCAAACACCAGCCAGACAAGAAACAGTCTATACTTTTCCAAGTACATGGGATTAGTGGAATGCCAACCTGATTATCACACCTCCAATAATTGTAAATATTGTAAACTCACCAAATTTTGTTTTTAGGGTTAGTGTGGCTTCATTCTGCATGTTGTCATCAGAGTAAAGACTGGATCTTTACCCCACTCATAATCTAACAGCTGGATTTGCTTCAATTACTATTTACACTGAGCAGCCCTGCCATGCATAAGATGCCCAAATTTTACAAATAAGCACAGATCAAATTGGCAAACAAGCTATTCATGGAGGAAGTGAGACCACATGAAAGAGTGGGGAAGAAACACAATCTGTGTTAAAGCATTTTTTTCCTAATTATAGTTCACTTCATTGGAAAAAAGACAGTGTAAATAGAAAATAAACATGGAGAGGTAATGGAGACAACTTTACAAAAACAGACGAGCAGAGAAAGTTTCAGGTGTAAGGCAGAGAACAGATAAAGAAAGTGGTGTAAGGACCAGGTAAAATTAATGAGAAGTATGGGATTATGAAGGGTAGAAAACAGAGAAAGGTGATATTTAAGCAAACACCTGTACAGGAATGGCTCAGGGGTTTCGACTTTTGGATTTATTTTACTCTCACTTTTACCTCTGGTGTATAACAGAGTGAATCTAGTAAATTACTGATTTTAATCTAGTAATAGAGTAGATTATTATAGTAATAGTCTAGTATAACAGAATGAATCTAGTAAATTACTGGTGAGGTACATCCAATGTGAGCTCAGGACTGGGCCATGAATTCTAAAAGAAATCTGAGGGAGGGACTGAAAAGAGATAGTTGGAGTTCTTTAATACCTAGATTGTTTACTTAAGGTTGGAGGATAAGGGAAAAAAATTAAAAGAAGTGAAGATAAAAGATAAAGACAACAATCTTTCACACTGTGTAGACAAACTGTATCCAGTACCTCTTCAGGTGATGAAGAGGGTTAGGGTTAGGGTTAGTCCATTTTATCCTTGGACTTGATTCATTAACAACTCTGGATTTACATCTGATTTTATCCCATCGATCTTTTAGCGGTTTATTTCCTATGCAATCAGCGAGACGAGATACTGTCTTGGCCTGAGCTCCTGAGTGTGCTGTTTGTTATCTGCTGTGGTTTTACCTTGCCAGCAAGCCCCCACTGTGAGCTGCATGGCGATGTGGGAGGGGTGGATGGGCCAGTCGTTGGTCACCAGGTACGGCTCATAGGTGGTCCCGTCCATGTACAGCGTCACCACGGGGAACTCCACGTTGACCACGTAGTAGTGCCACTCCTTGTCACAGATCTGGGAGACACAGCAGAGTATTAGCTGGCTCTTACAGTGACTGGTTTTTAGATCCCATATGATTTTTAAACTGTGCTGTTTCCAAATTTCACTTCTAGTGAATAACGTTACTGCAATTTCTACATTTCTAACATTAATGAAAGCCAAAACAATGTTAATAAATACTCTTAGCACATTTTGAAAACACAGGTGATAAATAGAAAACACATCCTGAAAACAAGACATGAATAGAAAATAGAAAAATCAGACAATTTGGTATTTGATCTATATTTTCACATTTGCTAATACATAATATTAGTTTCTTAATGTTTGTATATAGCTTTGAAAACACATTTCATGTAAAATACACACAGGATATACTGGTGTAGATACTGGGGATCCCTATTAGGTTCAGATTAAGAAAATATACAGTCCTTAGTCACTGGATTGAAGAGCTATTACCAATGATTGTCATTATTAACTCATCCCACCAGTACTTAGAAAGTCCTGTGCAACCTGCCAGGATCTCAGAGGTGCTGAAAGGACCTGGGCCATGCTCTGTGTAACACAGAGGGACCAGCAGTCTACAGATCTGGGCAAGGAACTCACCTCTTCTCTACCCTTCATCTTTTGGCCTTGAGCTTTTTCCCAGGTGGTGGGAAAATGAGGATCTTCATGGTTTTCCTGATACCCACCAGCTTTGAAAAGCAATGGCCACAGTTACAACCTTCAGCATGTAAGGGATGACAACATTAGGGTCAAATCACATAGGAATTTCTGAGCTGGACAACCAGGGACATCCAGGATGGCCAAACTCAGCTTTAGTTCAGAAATGTCCAGCTGGGTGAACCCATGCCTCCAGAGACAGAAGTCTGGTGTGCAAATACCAATGTCGGCCCAATTAATTTTTTCTGTTGTTGTATCTTGCAGATTTGAAAGTTTAAAGGAATGAATCACAGCAAACTGGTAGGATGAGTGGGCTGTTTTAAAATCAAAACAATAGTTACAACAATGGTACTTTCAGTTCTGGGGAGATCCTTGTTTTGAGGTATTAAGAAATGGAAATGCTTGAATGCAGATATCCTTGCTGTTTCACAGAAGCAAGCAGAAAATGATGTTTAAACATAACACTTTGTCCTTGGTCAGGTTAAGCTGGTGCAGTATCTGCCCTTTGAAAGCAAAAACTAATGTTTTCTTCCAGAAGACATTTCAACAAGCACTTAATCACCCCTATTTCAAACGGATACATTTATTACTGCAGACATCATAGCTCCACAGCAAGAGATAAATGCAGCAAGGGGCTGCTGGAGGGAGCCTTCCTTTTGTAAACAGCAGACAGCACAAATGTTTTCTGAAGGTTAAATGAGCTGAAACCAAAATTGAAAGTAAATAAATTGGAAGACTGAAAACTTTGCTGAACAAACACCAAGCACCAACAGTATTATGCAGCCCTGCCTTCCAAGGAAAAGCAGCTTGCCAAGCCCCTGACCTGCTCATTAACATGTGATGCACCACAGCCACATGCAGCTGACATTTCACAGAAAACAAAACCTGGTTTTGAGAGACCTTGCATGGCCAAACCTACAGGATGAATACCTGGCACTTTGTGGAGAGCTGTTCCACACTATTTCTGTTTTGCAGCCCTGAACTGCATCAGGCAGGATGCCTCAGGTGTACCCCAATGAGTGAGTGATCCTCATATTTAATTAAAGCATATTTAACTTTGACACAACAAACCCAAACATTTTGGGGCATTTCAGACACAGAGAGCATGATAATGTGTAGCTAGTGTAATTACTCCATTAGTCAGTCACATTTTTCCAAAAAAATGCTTCCTGGAAACACATTCATGACTTCCACAATTCAGGGCTCCTGCAACTAGGCTAAGTGCTTCCAAGAGAAATGTAGATGTCCAACTGCGGATGTCCACACAAAGTATTCAGTAACTTTTATTTTTTTGTGTGTACATTCTGGAACATAAGTTATTGCAAGTGCAGACCACTCGGTGATGCCCTCGAACCCTCACTTACCTGCATTTCCTTAAATTCCAGCACATGAACACATTGTTTGGAAGGGAATTTACACACTTAAAGGCTCAGCTCAGTTGTTCCTGAGATTTCAACAGCATTTGTTTGTCATCTTAATTGTCACCTGATTTCACTTCAGCTTAGGGACACAGACACATTTATTCCTCCAAATCACCTTTCAGTATCTGTACTGGGCCGAAGTGAAAAAACAATTGTTTTACAAGGAAGCAAGAAATGAATTCCAAACTCTGGGATATGTCCCAGTCATTCAGCAGCAGGTGGCCATTTCACAAGCAACAAAATCACAAACTGAATAATTGTGGTGTGCAATTTCTTATGCTGTTGTTTCAGACACCTTCTTCCCCTTCTTAACACAGGAAGACAATTTTTTCCCTGCACGGATTCCATTGTGGCAATGGAATGCAATATGAAGCAGTGAGGCCAGGAAAAGAAAACTGTAAAATATACTACAATGGCAAATAAAGAAATTTTAATACTGTCAAGTTGGAAATTCATTTTTAAAATCTAATGTATAAAGCTATTGTAATGAGATAAAATTACAGATGAGGAAGCTGGACTTTCCAAAACTGCTGGATGGCTTGTTCTAATCACTTTATCATGCCAGTCTGCCTCTAAAAAGTATTAATTGAATCACAGTGAATTAAACAGCCTAAAGTCCTTGTGCTGAGTACAAGCCATTGCACTGGAATATGCTTTTATTAAATAGCTGGAAACAGCTTTTATATAAATCTATGTGTTCTAGGCTCTTGGCATCTTCTAATGAAAAATGTCAGATTTTTGTGCTTTATATTGGAATTCTCAGGAGAAGAGTGAAACCAAAGTTCTTGGTCTGAGAAGCATGTGGTGCTTAGAACCAGACTTGGTGGTCTACAAGATACCCCATTTTTCAGCTTTGTCTACACAGGCCTGGCATGTGCCTGGGAGAATTGGCAATTTCCATCTCTGGAAGCTTCCCCTGGGTCAGCTGGGGCCACTCCTAGACTGTGGGTCATCCACCTGCATGGCTGCACACACCAAGGCAGCCTGTGCTCCTTGAGAAGCCAGTGAAGAGCTGTTGATGAGCTCTGCTGAGCAACCTGCACCTCCCTCTGGTGTCCCTCAGCAGCCCAGGGAGCCTGAGCAGGAGAACAGCTCTGCACATCCCAGTCTGCACATCCCAGGGAGCCTGATCAGGAGAACAGCTCTGCACATCCCAGACTGCACATCCCAGGGAGCCTGAGCAGGAAAACAGCTCTGCCCATCCCAGGGAGCCTGAGCAGGAGAACAGCTCTGCACATCCCAATCTGCACATCCCAGTCTGCACATCCCAGTCTGCCCATCCCAGGGAGCCTGAGCAGGAGAGCAGCTCTGCACATCCCAGTCTGCCCATCCCAGGGAGCCTGATCAGGAGAACAGCTCTGCACATCCCAGTCTGCCCATCCCAGGGAGCCTGAGCAGGAAAACAGCTCTGCACATCCCAGACTGCACATCCCAGGGAGCCTGAGCAGGAAAACAGCTCTGCACATCCCAGGGAGCCTGAGCAGGAAAACAGCTCTGCACATCCCAGGGAGCCTGAGCAGGAGAACAGCTCTGCACATCCCAATCTGCACATCCCAGTCTGCCCATCCCAGGGAGCCTGAAGCAGGAGAACAGCTCTGCATCCCCCCAGTGCTGCTCAGAGCACACCTGAATGTCCCCCCAGGTGTGGCTTCCATCTTCTGCTTCCCGGGACTTTGCTGAGGAAGTACTCTCAGAGCACACTCAAACATCCTCAGAAAGAGCAGGAAGGAGGAAAGGAAAGCAAAGAAAGTGCTCTGCTCACAGCAGGAAGGAGGAAAGGAAAGCAAAGAAAGTGCTCTGCTCACTGCAAATAGCACCACTTATTGCAGCTATCAGACAAAAATCCTTCTGCCTGAGTGGTCTGAACCACTCGTTCAGTTACCAAAAGTGGTCTGATCACTTTTCTGAAGAAAACATCTTAATCCAAATTTAAAACAAAGAGGATGTCAGTGCAGTCACTTCTTGATGCCTTTTGTAGCAACTTAACAAGCCCTGAAACCATCACCCCCATCCTTAGCTATCATAAAACACTGGGCCTGCTTTGGGCCCCTGAGTGCAAGGAGTATTTAGATAAACTGGAGTGAATCTGATGGAGAACCAGCAGAAGGGCCAGCTCTGGCCACAGGAGGAAAGGCTGGGGAATCTGGGCTTGTTTGGCCTGGAGGGAGCCAGCCTTAGGGAAAAACAGCAGCCCCACAGTGCCAAGGGAGAAGACAGACCACAGACAGGCTTTTCAAAGTGGACAGCTCTGTATTTTTATATCCCCTCACTAAAGAAGGCAATAAATGCAGGGAATCTCAATGGCATCAGCATTATTCACTCAGCCACAGACCCCCAGTCAACCCTCCTGCCTTGTTCTGAAAGCAGCCAAATGCTTTGTGGCTCTGCTTCAAAGCCTGGCCCCCACTACCCTGGCTCAGAGCACTGAAAATAGATGACAATTGGATGGGGAGAGAGGTATTGCTTTGAGTTAAAAAAGATACCATATTTTTATCTCCATCTCTAAAAAAATCCTTCTGAAAGAGCTTTTAAAATATTTGCAAGGTTTGGCATTGCTCTTTATCTGTTGATTACAATAATTTTGTAATTTTGGGACAAGAAAATATTTTATTATGTGTTTTGAACATATTTTTATGGTACTGAAAGAACTGCACTGTTTACAAACAGGGAGCTAAAAGGAAGGTTCTGAAAGACTGCTTCATTATACTTAGAACGAGGACCTAAGGAATAGTGCCACTTCAACAAGGAAGCCTAAAAAAGATAAACATTTGGAACTGGTTGGCAGTGGATTTCATATCAAATTTTAAAAGTTACATATATTTGCAATTTTTTAAAAGAAAGGTGTTGTGTACTTGCATATGTAAATTTAACAAAAATTAAGCATTTTAGGCAGCTGAGTCATTCTGCCAGAGACTGTTGAGTTTTGCATAGAGG